TGAAACAAGTGTTACTTTTTTGTCTACTATTTGTTATTCTGTATATTAACTTACATTGTTCTAGTTCCAAAATTTTATCCAGCTGAGCAACGTTTAATTCTGTATATATCATGTTTGTATTGGTGAATTTGTTATAATTAAATAGTATTTTGAGTATTTTGTTTTGTAGAGTCTGTATGTCTTTAAATAAAGTCCCCGAACACGTTCCCCATATTGGAATTAGATACCTTAAATGTGCAAGAAAAAATGAATTATAAATACTATATTTGGTTTTATTGGTAAAATAGTGGCGACATTTGAATAATATTGGTAGCATCGGGGTAACTTTTTTAGAAATTTCATTTACGTGTGATTTCCAATTTAAACATTCATCAACTATTAACCCTAGATATTTTATTGATGAGACTTTTTCCAACATGATGTTATTAATTGTAATCTGAACTTCATTAATTATGGTGTTTTTTCTTTTAAATATTATATATTTGGTCTTATCGACGTTTATTTTAAGATTATTATAAAACAACCATTTTAGGTATTGTTCCAAGTCTTCATTTACCAAAGCCTGCAGTTCTATTTCATTTTTTGCTGTGTATATCAGTACTGTGTCGTCAGCAAATGCGAAATATCTAGCTTGTAAGTTTGCTGCTTTCAAACTCAAAACATAGAGAGAGTACAGCAGTGGGCCCAGAACAGATCCCTGCGGCACCTGATACGAATTAGTCAGCAGTTCACTCACTACCTCACCCAGCCTTACATATTGCCTTCGATCACAGAGATATGACTTAAGCAAATTATACATTGTACCCTTAATGCCAATGCTGCTCAACTTCGTCAACAGTCTATCAATATCGACAACATCGAAGGCTTTTCGCAAGTCAACGAATACCGCTATTACAAAGTATTTTTCGTCTAAGGCTTTCGATATATAGTTGAGAAAGTCAAATGTGGCAGCAAGTGTACCACTGTTCTTTATGAACCCGTATTGATGAATATCCATAGCAACATTACTTTCCAGAAATTGTGTAATTCTAGTTTTAATAATTTTCTCTAAGATTTTAGAAAACACACTAATAACCGATATAGGTCTATAATTGTTCATTGATTCTTTGTCACCAGATTTAAATATAGGTACAATTTTACTTTTTTTAAATTCTTGTGGAAAGATGCCCGATGTTAATATATTATTTGTTAGTTGCGTTATGGTTTCTATTACGTAATCTTTAATATTTATTAAGTCTCTTACTGTGATATTATCATCTCCAGGCGCACTACTTTGTTTTAGATTCAATATGGTTTCATTTATTTCAGCCTCATCTGTCAATCTAAACTCGTTCAACTTTGTGTTACAATGAGGTTACAAGTGATTTCACTAAATACATTTTCTAGTTGGTGCCCAGACTCCTCAATTTCTTCTTTTAATTGTTTTATTATATTTTCCCCTATAAAAGCAAAATGCTGATTTAAATTATTTACGATATCGACTTGGTTACTAATTTTTTTATTCATAACAGTCAGTGTGTCAATTTGGGTTTCTTTTGCTTTTGGTTTAAAAAAACTATTAATAAACCTCCATTGTTTTTTATGGTCTTGTCCCGTCTGTGCCCATTTATTTTGGAAATGATGGTTTTTTGCAGATTTTACTTTATTGTTGACTTTGTTTTTTAGGTTTTTATATTTTTCTTATATGCTAAATCACGCTCCTTCATCACTTCAAGAATTTCCTGATCAATCCAAGTATTGTGTTGCCTTATTTTTATAACTTTTGATATTTCTGAGGATTTTTTGCAGTCCACGATTATCTCTGTCAGCTCTCGAAATGATGAAAGTGTATCGGCGTGCAGCATCCTATTCCTAAATAGAGACACAAACTTTTTGTGATCTACAATAATAAAATTATGTTGGACCTTGGACTTGAACACTCTTGTATCTTTTTGTATTTCAAATGATAAGCTACAGTCATCGGACAATGGGTTCATATTGACATCAAGGCGATTAATATACTGTCTTGATATAGAGTCTGCTAATACATGATCTATTATACTTCTACTATGAGCTGCATAACGAGTCGCACAGTTAGGATCAATATTGTTTACAATTTTAAAGTTATTGTAGAGTAGTACATTTTTATAATCAGCAACTAAATTGTTGTCATCTAGCAAATTGATATTCATATCCCCCATTATAATATGCTTTTTTCTATACTTTGTTATTATATTTTCTAAGTCATTTAAAAATTCTGCACCCTTGTAGGAGGGAGGTTTGTAAATCACGCTTAAAGTAAGTTCTTCATTTCCTATTCCAATACATACCCAATTTATAATTTGATTATCTACAGACTGGTCAAGTAATTTGTATTTTATCGAGCTATGTATATATATATATAGATGTACCCCCCCCCCCCCCCCCCCCTTCCATTACGACAGGAATGAATTGAATGATAATTATCTATTTCATAAAGAAATGTTTCGCTTTTGTCTAACCATGTCTCTGTTAAAGCCAGTACATCACACTTACTATTTAACATAAACCCTTGCAGATCTTCAATTTTATTTCTAACACTTTCAATGTTCATATAACATACCTTCAACTTTTTTCGAGGCCCTTCTAGTTTTTTAGATCATCCACCGACTCAATTAGCAGTACCTTTGAGCTGTCCGACTTGCGCAGAAATATGTTACCACCACTCAGCCACAAATACTTAAAGTCATTTGTTTTCTTAAATAATCTTGCTTCAGTAAATAATTTCAGGTTATCCTTGGTAAGGTCGTGATTTGGAAAGACTTTGTTTTCTTTGTTTCCTCCCTTGTAGCCCAAAGCGCCTATGTTAAGTTCCATTCTACGTTTTGATTTAAACATTTTTTGTTTCGTATCCAACTTTTCAAAAATGATTTTTAGAGGATTGTTTTTTTCTCTAGACCCAGACCCTAGCCGAAAAGCAGTGAACTGCCCCTCGACCTGAACTCCAAGCTGTCTGGCAATATTCCCAACAATGTCATTCACATCCTCGCCCTCCTTGTATGGTACGCCCTGTACTATTATGTTTCTGGCCAATTCAACTTGCTCGCGCTTATTAAAGGTTTTTTTAATATCATTAATTTCCTTTTGCAGGTTCTCATTAACTTTTACCTGTTCCGTATATTTTTCAGTTTGCTCATTGAATTTAGCGAGAAGGCTGTTATACTTCTCGCCTATATCCTCGAGTTTCGCCATGACATCGTTTATGGTGTATTTCACAGTTGTTGCTTGAGAACTTCTCTGGCAGTGTGAGCAATGCCATTCATCCTTAGACTTGCTCCTATACTAACGGAGATGGGAGAAAAAAGTTAATACAAAACTTGTAGATAAACATGAGTACTACATTCCTAAATTATTTTCTAGTATACAGGGTGGCCCAATAACTAGTAGTTACATAAAGTTATGTTCTCGGTTATGTTTTTTTAAATGACTCTCCCTGTATATTTTGACATTTCTGGATTCTGCGGAAAATTCTAGACATATTTTATGTACAATGTCATATACCTATCTTCAACGGTTTCGGAAATATTGACAGTTGAAAACTGACTTTTTTGCATCTTTGACAGACTGTAAAACCTGAACGGTTAATTTTACAAGAAAACGGATTTTACATTCCTATCTTAGTTTTTCCAAAACTATCATTTGGCACCAATCTTGAATTCAATCCATGAATAAAAATTCCGCCTAAATTATTAATCTTCGGTTAAATTCAAAGTTGGTGTCAAATGATAGCTTATGAAAATCTAAGATAGGAATGTAAAATCCGTTTTCCTCTAAAATCAACCGTTTAGGTTTCACAGTCTGTCAAAGATGCAAAAAAGTGAATTTTCAACTGTCAATATTTCCGTAACAGTTGAAGATGGGTATATAACATTACACATCAAATGTGTCTAGAATTTTCCGCAGAATCCAGAAATGTCATAATATACACGGGGAGTCATTTAAAAAAACATAACTTTGTGTCACTACTAGTTATTGGGCCACCCTGTATACCGAAAAATAATTTAGAAATGTAGTACTCATGTTTATCTACAAGTTTTGTATTCAGTTTTTTTCTCCAATCTCCGTTAGTATAGGAGATATGGACCACCGCGCGCTTAGTTATTCACCCTGTATAGTCAAAAAATATTTTATTAAATAATCAACAACTTGCAAGCAAAACTCGAATCAAAATAACTAAAATAGGTACTCATCAAAAACGCATATTCAAAATAAACTTGCTTGGTCGCCACGCCATATTGAATTTTGTGTCTGACAGATAATAAATATATAAATAAAAAAATAAATATTTGTCAAATGCTTCTACACCTAACTCACATTGAATGCCAGGAGCTTCTGGCTTCAGACAAATTTTGTTGTACAGTATTTTCATTGATACCTGAGTTTACTAATTCACTAGTAGATATTTGATTTAGAGACTGTTTATTCGATCTAGTGAGAGTAGTGCACTCCTGAATTTGTTTAACCATTTTTTTACAAACATACATGAAAATTCTTATACTTGCCTTTTTACTCGCCTTTTTAGCACCTTTTTTGGATAAAAGAAGACTTGGAATGGCCATCTTCTTCAATCTCATTTTTAACTTATCATTAGGCAACAAAGTCTTCTTTAAACCATGTTCAAAGTCATTTTCTTTAAAGTGAACACTACAAACTACGTGACGATGATTAGGAATGAAATTTTTTCGGTTTACCCGATTTTTCCACGCTTCGTATAATTCTGGCTGTAGCTCTTCCCTCGGAAATGAATGCATCGAAACACCAGAGTTTTTAGGGTTTCTATTGCAACCCACAACACAGCAATTAGGCATTTTAATTGTTATTACATAAATGAAACACCAACAACAAGCAACAATGAACAAATTAAGCAAAAGATAAACGGCCGCCTGTGTTTATGACGTCACGCAATGACAAGTTTTAAGGTAACTATGGGTAACACGTCATTGGTAACACCCCCTTTTTTAAATGAAAAAAATTGTACTTACATCAAAGTGGTCTTCACAAACAAATAGAGAATGTCCTTTAGGAAATTCATGTATCTTTTTTCCCATGGCTAATAGCCATGAAAGTCTCCTTTCTCCTTTAATTGGCATGGCAAAAAATATTTTGTCTGGGAAATTTTGTGAATTGTTTTGGCATCTACTTACAACGCAGCGACGAATATATTTTTTGGCGGATTGGGCCATTCTATATAATAAATTGCACTAACGCCGAACAACTTACACAATAAAAACGCACATTCACAAAATAAATCGAAGTTAAAATAATAAACATTCAAATAAACCAGGGAAAATGAAATGTAAACAAACAATAAAATGGTTGCTTCCCAGTTTGCAGTAACAAATAAATGTACTAAAAATAAAAATCGTTATTTCACAGCTCACTACCTAGAACATATTCGCGTCCTTTTCTATTGTTCATAAAAATAAAGGATAGGCTGAAACGGTGAACTTATTCACACTAGTACAATCAGAATGTACAATAATCCTAAATCCTGAATATAGGTCTCCATGTTGCCAAATTTGTTTTGAAATCTGTATCTCTGTCTCTAGATCGGAGCCAGAAAAAGATGTAAACTACCTAATTAATTAGCGCACATTAGAAACGCTGCCATCAAGCAAGAATTTATATAGGAAACTAATTAGAACTATTAGAAGCACATAATAGCGCTGGTGAACGCTGGCTGTCTCCAGCGAGAAAAAAACGAACAAATTGTTTATAACTAATGCAATATTAGTTTAATGGACTGTATATTTGAATAAATTTATTTTATTCGGAGAGAAATTATCTTGAACTAGACAGAATTTTTAATTTTATTTGACAAAGGATAACGCACACCTAACATGGGATTTTTGGGCTCTATGGATTTTGCCCATTTTTTGATATGTTGTAGAGGATTTAATTCTGAACAACCTCTAAATGGGACAAAATCTTGTAGGTATTACGGTCTTTGAGATATGTGCGTTGAAACATGAACTTTTTTGCGACTTTTTGTGTGGAGGGAGAGTATACGAAATACTGGTGCTACTGGTATTTATCAGTCAAAATATTGACAGGTTCACATATTTTACGTCACTTAAAAGTTAATGTCAACCTATGTTAAGGCCGGGACCGCACTGGAGTCAATGCTGGCGCCAGTGAGGTCCCGGTCTTAGCCTATGTTGACATTTGTTAGTGACGTGAAATATGTCGACCTGTCAAAATTTTGACTGATATACACCAGTTTCTCGTATACTCTCCACACAAAAAGTTGCAAAAAAGTTCATTTTTTAACGCTCATATCTCAAAGACCGTAATACCTACAAGATTTCGTCCCATTTAAAGGTTGTTCAGAATTAAATCCTCTACAACGTATCAAAAAATGGGCAAAATCCATAGAGCCCAAAAATCCCATGTTAGGTGTGCGTTATCCTTTTATGACAATACAATCAATACCAGTTATTTTCCAAATTGCTTGTGGATAACAAATTTGCTGGTACTAATATAACATGTTCAGAAACAATAATATCTAATTTAATCTAAATCTAATTTAACATATCGCCCACCTTGAAAGGATGTGGTATAAACTTTCAACATATTTTACACAAAAGAAAAACAAAAACTTATACTAAATTAAAATTAATAGGTATCATAGTTTACGAATTTAAATAAATTCCTAATTCCAAAGGTACCTAATTTAACAAATACAAAAAGGTCTTTGAATCAACACTCCGATTCAATAGGTAAGACACAAACACGATTAATTCCTCTTTTCAATATAGTGCCTTGAGTTTTTACACTTACAACTCTCACGATGTTATGTGTTCCGCGATGCAACTCAGTAACACGTCCTAGTTTCCAATTCAAGACCGGAACATTATCGTCTTTAATTAACACTAAAGATCCCAGCTTTACCAAATACTGACAGTTTTTCCGCCATTTCAATCTGGTTTGGAGTTCACTAAGGTACTCCTTTTGCCATCTCTTCCAGTAATGCTGAACCATAAACTGAATATGCTGCCAACGAGACAGTCGATTCTCCAAAACATCGATAAGAGGGTATTCTGGTATTGAAGTAAGGGTACGTCCAATCAGAAAATGGGCAGGCGTCAAAGCAGCAGCATCTTCTGGGTCTTCAGTTATTGGACATAAAGGTCGAGAATTTAAAATGGCTTCGATTTGAATCAGTAAAGTACCCAACTCCTCAAATGTTAAAGATTTATTCCCAAGAACACGCTTGATATGAATTTTGGAGCTTTTTATTCCTGCTTCCCAGAGACCTCCAAAAGTAGGGGAATGGCAGGAATAAAGTGCCATTTTATATTTTCATTCGCTAACATTGTAGTAAAATATTCGCAATTAATTTGTAAAAATTCATAAACTCAACAAATTTCTCTATTTGTCTTACACGAGGCATCAAAAACTGTTCGTAACTTAGTAGTTAGACTCGTGCTTTTGATGACCGCATGGTGAGGCAAATAATAACCCATACTTTCACAATCAAAATCCTTATACTCTGACATAAGATTTAAAGAGATATACTCATCCATAAATTGTATATATTCCTTTCTTAAATCTGGATTTTTAATCAATTTTCTCTCTAAACCATAAAATCTATTAAGTGCATTAATTTTAGAGTTTCCTAAATTTGAAATAGATTTTTTGAACGGGATTCTCACAATATATCTACCGTTGTCGTCTCTGATAGTGGTGGAGTCAGAAAGTTCCTCGCAATATCTTTCTGTCTCCGATAAAACATTTTTTTTACTCAAAACATCCTCTAATTCCCAGAATTTCATGATACTAGTGTCAAGATTACACCCATTAGTGTCATTACTAAAACAATTTATTGACAAATTAACGTTATTAAAGCCTATTTGCATATTTCCTGCAACTATCCATCCAGTATTCTGTAAAATGGGAAGTTTATTTCCTAATGAAATTTGTCCTGAATAAATAGCCGTCCAAAATATTCCAGATCTCAATAATATATCAATTTCTTTCGAAACGTTAAAATCAGGATCTGCTAATTCTAACTCCATCGGTATTTGGAGTAAACTTTTATTGAAACTACAAACAGGTAATCTATCTGTAATTTTCTGTATCACTAAACAGTTTATATTTTGTTCAAAAGAATTAACTCGTGACATAATTTTGATATTTACTTGGCGATCTATATTAGATAACATCTGTCCAATTCCCTTAACGGCATGATTAATTTTAACATATTCCAAATTGAGCTTTTCACAGAATGATTTGGAGATGAAATTACTTTGAGACCCACTATCTAGAAGTGCCCTACATGTTATTTCCTTCCCACCATTTTTTACTATAAGTTTTATTGTAGATAATAATACTTGAGAACTAGATATAGCAAAATCGCTCTTCTGTACATGGGTAACTACACTGGAATCGCCAATTTCCGGAGTTACTAAAGAATCTCTATTTATATTTTCCAAATGTAACAAGGTGTTATGCGGTTTATGACATTTCGCACATTTATTTAGTTTACATTTCCATGACTGATGTGTATTTCTGAAGCAATTTAAACATAATTTTAAACTTTTTACTGATTCAATTTTTTGTTGAGTAGATAATAGAGAGTTATTGGACGTGCAATAAGGACAAGCAGTATTTAAATTAACCTTATTTTGACATCTACGCATGCGCATTTGGGTCCGAAAATAATAATTCCCTTAATAAGGCTACTGCTTGTCTTTATTTATGTATGGTTAGTGCGAGGCAGTAAACTTCCCTTATTTCAAATTTCTGACATTTTGGACGAGTTTGACGTTTCGCTTTTCGATGATGACGTAATTTTAATTAATTTTTTTTTTTTTTACAATAGTTTTCCATTTTACAGTGGGTAACATAAAAAATGGGTATCAGCAGAAAATCACAAACAAAAATAAACACTTTTTGAGGCTGAAATTTATAAACATAGCTATCAGCTGTCAAAATTATGAATACAACATAAAGTAATACTCTAGCACCTACTAGTCTTCCAATAACTGTTTTTTTCTTGGAAAAATAGTGCTGATGCACTAATAAAATAACGTAGATCCTTAATACTGCGAGGCAGTATTTAATAGTTCCAATAACTCTCTAGTTCAAAAATGAATCACATTTAAAAATACTGTGATCTTTTGAACAATAATAACATTTTTCTACAACTGTCAAAAAATGATGATGTTCGCACACTCATGACAGTTTGCGAAGTGGCACTTTTTTCCCCAGGTATTGATTTTTTAACGTTCCCATGACGCCGTGCGCGAACTAGCTATTTCGCGCACGTGTGCGCGAAATAGCTAGTTCGCACACTGGGTGTCATGGTGACACATACCTGTCAAGAAATCAAAAATAATTAAAATTCACCTACCTTTGATTGAAAATACAATTTTGGCTTCGAATGATTGATATTTAAATGGAGTTGTAGAAAAAATATTGTTTGCAACTCGGGCGCGAAATATTTTGGTGATCTCGACTATTTTTTTAACTCGGCTGCGCCTCGTTAAAAAAATCAGATCTCGATCACCAAAGTAGCATTTCGCGCCCTTGATACAAAAATAACTATTTAATTTACTATCTGAAGCTAACAAACCATGACTACGACTCCTTTTACCCTTGTTATCAAGACTTTCCAAGCCAGTGGCCTCTATTTTCTCTAATATATCACATTTATTTTTAAGAAAGCCATTCAAATCTTGTAACGAAGGTAGGTCGTTCTGGTATTTATAATTTTCCCACTTCCGACGAGTAACAGCATCAAATTTATTTGCTAAAATATAGATGATTAACCTATCCCATGAATCAGTATTTTCTCCTAAACTTTTTAGAGAACGTAAGTGTTTTGTAGTTGTATCAAATAGATTTCTCAATCCTACATGTGATTCATACCTTAACTTTGGATATTCAAAAATGATTTTAATATGATTATGAATCATAAGGGACTTATTTTCATATCTTTCGAGTAAAAACTGCCATGCAACATTATAATTTATTGCTGATACTTCAATAGATTGAATTGCTTCAAGAACATCTTTATTCAGAGAACTTCTCAAATAATAGAGAATTTTTGGATGTCGCTGAGTAACTTATTTTGATCAATTAATGAAATAAACGCATCTTTAAACTGGAACCAGTTGCAATATTTACCATCAAATGGTGATATAGTTATGGGTGGCAGTTTTACTATTGGATTATGATCATTTGAATTATGATTTTTATGTCTAGTTGATTCTACACTACCTTTGCTTGTTTCGGAATTTGTGTCAGAGTCAGTACGTACATTTTTAATAAATAATTTTGCCCGACTACATAAATTATAGAATTTATTT